GATTCCTCCTGCCTTTTGGACAAGCATTTTAATGGAAGCGGAGATACAAAGCGTGTACAATGTGGTGACTTCTTGCTTTTGTTTGCTTTTGTTTTTGCTGCCTGCCCATGGAAATATTAAGCTGCCCTTGCTAGAGAAACTGTAAATAAAACCAAATGCTCGTATGTTCAGGCGAACTGGACTGAGATACCTTGAAACACTTTTGAGTTTGTTCCGTTTTCACTACGAAGTATGGAGATGTGAAATTTTTCAGTATTATGACACTACTAGCTGACATGACGTACTTCATGTTCATTTGCAGTATTCTTATGTCCATAAGACCCTTAGGTCTTCTCTCTACAAGAGAAAAACTTTTATGCATGCCTACAGATACGTCCTGTTTGGGAAGACTGATGTTCTGATTGCTGTAAATGCAACTCTATACCAAATGCTTGAAGGGAATAAGATCCTGATTTTTGTTGACTTGGTGATTGTATTAGTAACTTTCTTGACTCAATGGGATTTTTTCCACCATGACAAAGCAACCAAGTTCCTATTCCTGGAGGGCGGTTTAGGCTCAGACATTCTCAGGAGAGGCAGTTTAAAACCAGTGTGTTGGGGTTTTATGCAACTTTCATAGTGACATGCAATGTGCCCCTTGTTTTACCTGTGGAGTGAAGTTGCAGAAGCACACTTCCAGATTATTGTACTGAAATATCTTTTTTCCTCCCCTGCTCATACTAAGGGGTGACAGAAGTGGGTACAGGAGACCCCTAATAACGATAGGCTGTGTTGGGTTTGGTAAATGTTATGGTGGAAAATGTACATTGATGTCTCTAAGTGATCTTACGGGTTAACAAGCCAGACTGGCATCTTTTTCCATCATTGTTTAACCAAAAATGGTTCTAAAAATGCTTTGTGTACCTGCATGGTCTTAGACCTTCTATTAATGATTGTATCAACTTACAAACTCAGGTAGCTAATTTTTTAAGCTCTTTTCGTAGAGCCTTACTGACTGAATGTTAAGTGTCTGTGTAGTGACGTAGTTAAGTAAATTCCTTTTGAACTACCAGACTAGTTTAAAAAAAAGTCCTTTCATAGGTTTGTAGCGTACTTTTCAAACAACATAGTAGTTTTTTCCTTCAGAGAGATGTCTGTTTCTGGGTTTTGTTTTTTAGTTTCCTTTCTAAAATGACTAAAAAGTTTTTTAACTAGTTTGTAAGGTGTGCTTAGTCGCTGGAGTTGGTGGGGGTTCCTTGCTGTATGTGACTCTTGTTTGTACTGTGCATTACCTGTCATGTGCTGCTTGGTTCGTGTACAACGTAACGTGTTGGAGCAGTGAGGGTGTTGAACACATGCCTGCCGTTTAAGTCAAATAGAAATTGGAAGCCTTGAACGAAATGGAGGTCATCCACATGAAACCATTATCACAAATGTGCATTTTTCTCCCCTCATTTAATTGACTGTAGATGTGTGGCCTCCTCTTATGGAACTTGGTTACCGGTGTGTAAGTAGCATTGCCTCAGTGCAGGTTTGCATCGGGATCCAGAAGGATTTTGTCAGTCCTTGGATGTTGAGCATCTTGAGTTGTTTGGTTTTGTAGTTTTTTCTTCTGTTGCAGTTGTTTCTCTCTCGTGATTAATCGTGCTGCTCTCCTAATAATAATAAAAATGTCTCAGCAGGACAGACAGTGCTCTGCTTTTAATGAGCTGCTCAGAGCTTTTATATCTAATTGATAATGAAACAGGCTGTGACAAGAACTTTCATGCTCCAAAAAGGGCATCACATTTCTACTTGGACAAAAAAAAGTGGCATTTGTAGGTGTCAGAGTTGAGTACTGCAGAGAAGAAGGCATGACAGGTTATGTGCAAAATTTACATAGAATAAGTGAGCAAAATGTTAGAACTCTTGTGTTAATGGAGGCTTCTGAATGTATCTTTGTGGTCCATAGGGAAGGCTGAAGGATGTAGCAAGGAGACGATGTATCAGCTACTGGCAGCCTTAAAACAAAGTCAGTGTCTCTCTGGACTTTAAAATGTTCCTATGCAGTTTATTTTATTTTTGTTTAATCAAATAAACGTGAGGAGTTTTGTTCATGGCAAACCTGTGTATGTGTGTTTCTGTATTATCCAGCCAAAGCCTTCTCTTCTGTCAGCATGCAAAAAAGAAAAAGCACTTCCCTGAATTTGAACCTAGCTGTCTCCAGATGATGACAACTTGAAAACTTTCACCAGAGGCACCTGCTTTGAAAGGAGAGAAGTGTTGGGGTGCTGTGGAGAGAGGTGTGGGTTGTTGGGTTTTTTGGTGCTTTTTTTTTTTTGAAGAGTAGTTTTGATGCAGTGTCAAACTCTTGGTTGGCTGGTTTCTTAAAAAAACCAGCCTCAGTGTCAGGAGTAGAGGAAATGGCTTTGATCCTGAACTCCATGCAGCTTTTCCAGTATTTTTGCCAGAAAGTTCCTGGTTTAACCTTGTTAGGTCCCATTTCTAGGTTTTCATGTCTTCACCTTTGCAGCTGTGAAAGTAAGACTGAGAGTGGCAGTGTAAAGCAGAGCCACTGGAAGGTGTAATGGTGTGTCTGGCATCCTGCAGAGCAGACTGACGACATAAGCTGCGTAAGCAGAAAAGGTGCTCTTTTCCTTACTGCTTTCCAAAAGGTCTGAAAAGAAATGGTGAGCATGGGAAGATGCTCTTCAAGTAAGGTCCCAAATTCCCAGCAGGGGTAGAAGTGGAGGTGGATTTCAGTCTCTGAAAGTTCTGACTACAGTAGATCTTCAAAGCTGAGATGCTTTCTAGCCCCAGCTGTGTGCAGCTGTGGGACTGCTTGGCACCATGCTGTGCTCTATCTGTCAAAGTCCTTCACCTGCCCATCATTTTTTTCCTTCTGGAGCAGCTGGCACCATGGCAGCAGGGCAGAGATCACTTGAAGCAGAAAGGATGGATGGAGAAGATCAGGTGAAGGAGGGTTTCAAGACTACAACCCTGGCCAGCTTTATATGGTATTCTGTGTGCAATCCTTTGGCTTTTCTATGCTCTATCCCTGAAGAAGATCAGGACCTGGAAGCTCACTGAGCTCCATGCGATGGCTCCAAACACTGCTGCACTGTTCTTGCACCATGGCCATGGTCACTCTGTCTTCCACTTTTCTTGTGAAAACCTTTAGCTCTGAGTCAATCTCAGGGGCAGAGAGGCTGGGATAGCAAGGAGGGGGGGGTGCCTGCACCTGGGGTGCTCCTGGGGCAAGGGCAGTGCAACCATGGAGACCTTTCTCCTGCTGTAGAGACAGGAGCCAGTGCATGACTCCACAGGGGTAAGATCCAGGCTTGCTGGGCTCCTGGAGGCAAGGGGAGGGCAGGACCAGAGGGATGGGCACTTTCTCTTTCAGCAAGTATTGCAAACCAAAATCATAACCATTATTGAGTTCATTAATTGTTGCTCCTGCTCCTACTGCTTTTACCAGAGGACAGCTTGCAGTTTTACTTGACGAATTCTTTATGATTAGAGCCTAAAAGGAACAGAGGGAAAAGGCAGAGGTGGACTATGAGTCTATGGCAAAGCCAAAGAGGGAGACAGGTCCTTCACTGCTCCCTTCCTCAAGCTGTTCTGATACTCATTTCTGCCCTTGGTAATGGTAAAGCAATGAAAGGGGGGAGCTGGAAGGCACCACCCTTCCCCCTCTCTTCCAGCAGCGATGTTACAGCCAGAAGGAAAAACATCTGGGAGCTGCTCTGGTCAGTGCAGCGGCCTTGGAGCAGAGGAGCGGTGGCCGTGAGGGGAGCGCTGGGGCTGAAGGCTGCTGCTGGCAGGCGGCTGTAGCCGGGAGCTGGGGGGCAACACCTGCAGGGGAGGAGGTGGGGGTGCCTCCGGCCCTGCTGCAGCAAGGCAGCAGCGTTGCATGTGAATGCCCCGCATTC